GCACCACACCTCGTGGGTGCGAACCGGAGTTGATAATGGTGTTGCCATTAGTATCAAAGGGTATTGGGGTATCTACTAGCCTTTCTCTCACTCCCGTAAATGCTTAGCATGCCCGTAACACTCAGTATGGGGATGATGGGAAGCTACATCCGGTGGCATTCTATTCCAAGAAGTTCTCCCCTGCTGAGATCAACTATGACATTCATGATAAGGAAATGGGAGCTATTGTAGCCTCTTTCCGGGAATGGGAACACATGCTCAAATCTTGTGAGCAAGAGATCACGGTTTTTAGAGACCACAAGAACTTGGAATACTTTAATTCTACCAAGATTCTCACTAGGCGGCAAGCTAGATGGTCTGAAGACCTCGCAGGCTACAATTTTAAAGTTGTCTACAGACCGGGAGAAAAGAATGGCAAGACTGATGTGCTATCTAGGCGCTGGGATCACCGCCTTGGAGAGGGAGGTGAAACTCTGCAGCCGGAGCCACAGATATTTTTTAGGCCAGGTCAATTGGTTTTGGATCCTGCAAAGCTAGCGGCTGTCAGGGTGAATCAATTGCAGAATACATTCTTAGAGCGCCTATACACGGTTGCTAAAGAGGATAGTTTCTGGCAGGAATTGCACCGCTCCCTGGTTGAAAGGAAACCAAATTTGGACCAGAACTTGTCGGTCAAGAACGGTCTCATCTTCTATAAGAATAGATGGTATATACCCAAAGACAAGAAGCTTCAGATGGAGATACTGTCCGATACCCATGACTCTAAGGTGGCGGGTCACTTTGGCCAATTTAAGACACTTGAGCGGGTGAAAAACAACTTCTTTTGGCCCAACATGGATAAGGATGTTGAGGAATATGTCCGGAGCTGTGATAGCTGCCAGAGGAATAAGACCTCAAGACATAAGAAGTTTGGTATGCTCCAACCGTTGGAGATACCCTATCGGCCATGGACTTCCATCTCTATGGACTTCATTGTGGGATTACCGGAATCTGGTGGGTTTACAAAGATCTGGGTAATAGTGGACCGCTTTTCGAAGATGGCACACTACATCCCTCTTCCTACCCTCAATAAAACGGAAGATTTGGCTAAGTTGTTCTTGAAGGAAGTTTGGAGACTCCATGGTTTACCTGATGACATAGTCTCGGACAGAGATAGCAGGTTCATTTCTCACTTTTGGCAATCTCTCATGAGTCTCCTCAATGTGAAGCTGAAGATGTCCACATCTTTCCACCCACAAACGGACGGTCAAACAGAAAGAGTTAACCAGACCCTGGAACATTACTTGCGGAGTTATTGTTCATATCAACAGGATGACTGGGCAGAACTCTTGCCTTTGGCAGAGTATGCATATAACTCGGCGGTCTCTGAGTCTACCAAAGTACCGGCTTTTTATGCCAACTATGGATATGAACCCAGGACCAACTGGCCGGCCCCAAAGGAAGGAGTAGAATGGAACAATCCAGCGAGCGAGGTCATGATATCTCAATGGGAATCTATCTGGCAGGCTATGAACGCCAGCTTGGGTAAAGCTAGATTAAGGATGGCCCGGTGGTATGATGCCCATGCCCTGGCACCGCCTGAAATCAAGCCCGGAGATGAAGTTATGTTGGACCGGCGCAATGTGCAAACAAAGCGGCCTTTGGGAAAACTGGATCAGAAGAAGATGGGACCCTTTAAGGTCTTAGAAGCTATTGGTACCCGTGCCTACAAGCTCTCTCTTCCCCCCCAAATGGGAATCCACCCGGTCTTTCATGTCTCTCTTCTGGAACCTTACCGAGCACCGGTAGATCCTGAGAGAAGAGTCCCTGTACTGGAGCCCGAAGAGATTGAAGGAGAACAGAACTGGGTGGTCCGAGAGGTAGCTGATAGCCGGGTCAATAAGAAAAGGAGACGAGTGGAATATCTAGTGCTGTGGGAAGGTTATGAAAACGAGGATGCTACATGGGAACCTTGGGAGCATCTCAAGAAGAGTGCTGAAGAAGCCCTTTGGGATTTCCATATGAGGTATCCTAAGAAACCCAAGGACAAGCGGATTGTTGGGGTGTAGATTATTTCTTTTGGGTTTTCATTTCCTTGCATATCACGGAGTTTCTTGTCATGATAGAATAGCATGGTAATAGAATGGTTATAGATCTCGGAGACCAAGATCCTGGAAGAGGGGAGTGGTGTAATGGAGCCATTTCAACTGTCTGGTGTATGAGTACACACAGGGCCCGGTTACATGCTGGGAGTTATTGTTAGAAGCCAGTTGCACGGTGATATGCAAGTACCGGCAGTGTGGCTAGCTACCAGCTGTTAGAGTAACTACATTCCGGGCGCTAGGAAGCGGATCTATTCATGGGAGCAATGACTGACGAGTCTATGCCTCGCCAGTGTCTAGAAGACCGGCCAGAGTGAAGCTCTGATTGTCCGGTGATCCACTGTATCCTCTGAGCATTGTAAGTCCGCCGAAGGGCAGGGACTATGCTAGGGAAGTCTACAATAAGCGAAAAGCTCTACAGCAATGATTAAGCTTACACCTGAGCGGCAGCTCATTCATGCAGGTCCTCGGTTGTGTGGCAACCAAGGCTGCAGGTGTTACAAAGGCTTTGACTAAGGGTGGTTGCCTTGGGTATCGGAAACACCTGCTGACGCTTAGAGAAAAGCGGGGTAGCGGTGGTATTGTTTCCGGTACTGAGGAAAAGGCCCACCGGAACTTAGTAAGGAGTTAGGAGCAGAGAATAGAGGCCTTCGGAGTATAAGTACTCAGGTTCATTCTCGCCCTTCAGTCCTGTTCTCTTCAGTCTTCATCAGAAAGAAAACCAAGTCCTTATCGGTAGCAGAGCCCTTAAAGATTATTGAGTTCTAGCGATAGTATCTTTGAATAATCTGCAACCTGATTGTCTATCTTGCATGGCCGTCTCTATTCTACTTTATTCTATTCCTCTTTGTAACTGGGGTCCTTTCTAAGAGAAATAGAATCGGATAGAATAGAGACGGCCGTGCAAGATAGACAATCAGGTTGCAGATTATTCAAAGATACTATCGCTAAAACTCAATAATCTTTAAGGGCTCTGCTACCGATAAGAACTTGGTTTTCTTTCTGATGAAGACTGAAGAGAACAGGACTGAAGGGCGAGAATGAACCTGAGTACTTATACTCCGAAGGCCTCTATTCTCTGCTCCTAACTCCTTACTAAGTTCCGGTGGGCCTTTTCCTCAGTACCGGAAACAATACCACCGCTACCCCGCTTTTCTCTAAGCGTCAGCAGGTGTTTCCGATACCCAAGGCAACCACCCTTAGTCAAAGCCTTTGTAACACCTGCAGCCTTGGTTGCCACACAACCGAGGACCTGCATGAATGAGCTGCCGCTCAGGTGTAAGCTTAATCATTGCTGTAGAGCTTTTCGCTTATTGTAGACTTCCCTAGCATAGTCCCTGCCCTTCGGCGGACTTACAATGCTCAGAGGATACAGTGGATCACCGGACAATCAGAGCTTCACTCTGGCCGGTCTTCTAGTCACCGGCGAGGCATAGACTCGTCAGTCATTGCTCCCATGAATAGATCCGCTTCCTAGCGCCCGGAATGTAGTTACTCTAACAGCTGGTAGCTAGCCACACTGCCGGCACTTGCATATCACCGTGCAACTGGCTTCTAACAATAACTCTCAGCATGTAACCGGGCCCTGTGTGTACTCATACACCAGACAGTTGAAATGGCTCCGTTACATATTCCTACTCAACGTTGACTGAAGATACCTTAGAGACTTCTACCTTCGTAGCTGTTAGCCGAACTCTGAGCTATGTGTAGTGTACTCTTGAGGTCTGGTACGCAACCTTCACACCCATACGTACGATATACATCAGATGTTTATAGCACTACACTAGATAATGGTAGCTATACAAATAAATTTCAGAAATTGATGTTAAAGGAAACACATTTAAATTATATAACATTTATTTTTAATTTTTTATTTAATAGCATTTTGTAATTCACATGCCGGCTCACCACTCACTCACTTTCGAGTGCACACTTCGCCCTAGCGAGGTGGCCAACTGCTAGTTTGTATGCACTTGTCTTTAGGAGTTTCTCTGATTATCTTATTCGGTTTGGATGAAACTACGTAGCTATAACCACCGCTGACCTACGTCCCCATGATCATCCATCTATTGCGAGTTGCCAAAATTAACCGGACGCTCTCCTACAACCACCCAAATCAAATAGGCCACAATAACTTAGCTTTCAAATACCTGCGATTGAGCCCATATTAAAACCTGAGATGGTACAAGCATAGAGAATTACAGATATAACACCTCTTGACTTTTCCAGCTGTGGTTGTGTTGCAAGGCGATGTTGAAGTTGCATTCCCATACTAAATTTGGTTGTAACGCAGTGTCCGGTTAATTTTGGCAACTCGCAATGCTATCTCTTCTACCAAGTTTGATCGCATATAGCTCTCCGTCGTTTGAAATCGCTTAATCTAACACTTCTATAACTGGAAACTCTGTCAATATAATCCAAGTATAGCACTAGATTAACAAGTTCCATGACTCTCTCTTCCGTCTAGCATAGGTTAAATAACAGCTTCTTGATCTGACCGAAGATGTGAAGCAAAAATAAAAGAAATTTACAAGAATAGATATATCGCAACTCCCGAAACTAAACAAAACTAGACCAGCCAGCGTCAATCGCTCCCTCAGATGATATTAACAAGATGTAAATAAGGAACACGCTCATGCAACGGAAAATAAAACAAAACGAGAAAAGTGGTAAATGGGCACTTGCGCCAACGGCGGTCAGCTCCATGTTTCTGCAAGGAATAGGAAGGAAGAAAACCCCAATAATCTCAAATATACGCCAACCCGTTAAATTTAACTTCAACCACCTCTGCGACTCGTCTTTTATCTCAATGCATCATGCAGCAACAAATCCGGATAGTCCTGTATTCCTGCACTCAACACATGCGGTTGAACGTGGTATATATAGCACCCACAGTTGCAGACACAAATCCCAGAAACCTTAAAAGGAAAATTCTTTGAACAAAGGTCTATTGACAACCCTTGAGTGGCCAAAGCTTTGTGTTGGAGTAGCAGTCAAGGGTGAGAGCTGATCATCTTCATCATCGCCAATTTCCGAAATTCTTGGAATATCAGAGTGTGAGCCCCGTCTTGGGCCACTAAGAGGAAACATTGGCGGGGTTGCTGTTGAAAGCCTTTTTAACGAAAAGTCCGCCAGGCTGTGTCGCTTGCTGTTGGAAACACCGAGATTTGTCTCAACAATTACCCCTCCTCCTCCTGTACTTCCAGCCATACTAGCTGTCGTGCCCAGGCTTGCCTCACTCGCCTGTCGACTTAAAGTTCGATGAATGCTCCCAACACTTAATTTTGATGATAGTTCTCTTTGGGCTTCCTTCTGCGATTCTCGTAAAGAGTGCGTCTCTTCCCCATAGGTCGTGCTTGGTCGTCTCTCCAAATTTTCGGGGGAATGTTTCATAAGCCCACTTGAAACAAACTCGAGCGCCCGCTGGGTTGGGCTTGGTATCCGTCTAGGGTGATTTATTAAAATTGATGTGCTTGAAGTATCAAAGCTTTGCTCATATTCTATGTCTCTTATCAACGCTTCAAACCGCGCGATTGAGTTCATTGGTGCCTGCTCGGATGTCAATGCTGGACTTGGGGGGGCCGTAGAGAAGAATCGGTCAAGAATCGTTTCACGGCGTGGTGCAAGAGCGATTGGGGTTTGGATGCTAATCTCCTCCTTGATAACATTACTATCCCCAGCACCTATTGAATGCCGCAGTTTGGTTGCCAGGTGTAGAGGGGGCCGGCCATCAGCCGAAGAACGTGGGAATTCCTCGTCCGCGTTTGGGGATGGCATATCCGATGCGGAGCTGCTCATCAAACTCCCCTTGTCATCAGACTCTATGCTCGAAAGGTTGCTGGTCCTTGACCGGAGGGAAGGACTAAGCAGTGCTGTGTTGGGCTCGCCATTCATAAAAAACATTGAAGAAGTGGTGGGCGCTTCCAGGTCAAGATCACTGAATCTTTCCCGAAATGCTGGGTCGGTAGCCTGGTTAGCATTTGAGTCCGAGGAGCTAGGAATTAGATGCGCCTGGATTTCCTTTGCCCATTTTTCAATCGCAACCACGTTATCCGGCCCAGGGCGGAAGAGCAGTATCTCTTTTGCAGCACCTTCCCTCTTGGCCCCTTCACGTTGTCCAGGCACATCATGACTTCGCCTCCGGAAAGACTTTGAAGAGGATAGTTGAATTTCTGGTCGCAGGTTCACAACCAAGGTAGGAAGTACTACGGACTTCTTCTTGTGGCGCGAAGCAACATCCCCAATATAGCAGGAGGCGATAGATGTGATGCTAATATGAAAGAGCAATATTAGCAGTGCAAGCCAAGTGCAGTAAGAGAACAAAAATACCAGCACGGATGAGACCGGGGTAAATATGTAGACTGGTTGTCCAGGAGAGCTTACGGATATCGTGTAATTGGTTCGGTATCATTCTGCAGGTCATCAACCCAGTCAGTCGGTTTCTATACCGGCCGTGCCGATTCCAACCCCTTACCTTTTGCTTGTAAACCGTCAAAGAGATCGGCAACTGTGCTACATCCATCTCGTTTACCATAGAACCCACCGACTGTGGACTCCGGTCCGATGGGGTTTGCGACAGCTTAGGACCGTTGCCAGACACTGCTCCAGTCCCACCAGGTCCAACCACTCCAGTAGCCGTAGTCGGTCGAGTCGGTGAAATGGCCGATCGCGCGGACGTCGGGGTCGTGGGTGAATGACTTCCGAACTTGACATACCTAATCTGTCCGTCACAAATGGCGAAATCAAAGTCAGTATCGGAGCACGGGAAAGCAGAAGAGTTTGAGAGGGGGTGAGGGGGGAGCGAACGAATGAACGACCATCCCGCACGGAGTAAAGTTGGAGTTCGGAGAGACGGGGGCCAGTTCAAGAGAGTTCCATTGATCATCATACCTTCCAAGCAGCACGGCCTATCAGGTTGCGCTCTGGCGGAATCTGTAGCCAACCTTCTATGATTGTCGTCATATTGCGTGGTGTTGAGTATTAGGCAGACACCGCTTGAATTTCAAAGACAAAAGGGACGGGGGTAGGTGGAAGGACGAAGGGGAAGGGGGAGGGAGGGAAAGAAGGGGGGGGATGAAGAGAAGATGGACCGTTCGCTTTGTGGACCTCCAGGGTTCTTTCTTTTCTTTTCTCTAATTGTTTTGGATAATAGATATCTCGAGCGACTAGGAACAGAGGGCTAGAGAGGGGGTGCAAGACAGAACCCGTGGGGCAGGTATGTAAGTTCTAGTGAATATATCATATAAATTTATGAGTATGGGTGAGTGTATTGGGTGATTAGTGTTAGGACTGGTATTGTCCTAATTCCCCACCACCACCTCCTCCTCCTCCTCCACTGGTATTCTACTCCCTGCGTATGTACGGAGATATTGATATGCACAATACATACTCCCCCGTCAACCTCACTGTGGGACTCGAATGAAATTCCTTGTGGTGGTTACGCTCGGGCGCCCAAAATGGAAACGAGTGGGCTGGTCCTGGACAAGGGAGAGAAGAGTTTATTTTCCCCCTTATCTTGACTGCCCTTCCCTCAGATATTGATCGTACGAGGAAGTTGCTTGGTATCAATTAGCTAAACTAGTTAGTCTCTGCAGCGATCGCCAGTAACGGAAGGGGAAGGGCACTGGAGACTGAAATCAGGCATTAACAAATAATTAAAGAAGTTTAGTTGATGCCTAGACGTACTCCTGGGGTATGGCTACTTGTAACCAAGGGCATGAAGGCCATCCACAGTTAACAAAACAGATCGAAATCACTTAGTCATACCCCTACATACAAGTTTACAATTCATGCGGAATTCAAATCAACTTTACAAACACGCCAAACCGAAAAAACACTTCTAGAAGAGGAATTGAGACAGGCGACTACTGGGTGGTTCAGGTACATTATGTACATACTCGCGATCATCCATAAGAACCTGAAAATGCAGGTGAATAAGACAGGGATAATTTCTATGGGAGAACGGCGCCACTACATACAAATAATCCTTGTAACTGTCACTTGCATTTTCAGGTTCTTATGGATGATAGCGGGTACATGCAGCTAAACATGGGGCTGCAAAAAAGGTTATGAAAACCTTTGTACCATTGCGCCCCGACTGGTTCTATGTACTCTACTACGTGTAAATATACATGTAGTTACCCCACGTACTCAGTACTCGATGTATACTTACTCTATCATTGACCCTAAAAAGGAAAGAAGGAGCATAAGAAGGGAAAAATCTACATTTAGTACCGCAAAATCTGGGTTCGTTCGGACGGTTGCCAAGAGGACAGCTTTGCAGAGGAGCTGAAAAATATCACCCTTAAAGGAAGAGATCCGAGCCTTTTACAGCAGGATTAAAGCCAACACCGCTCTTGGCAACCGTCCGAATGAACCCAGATTTTGCGGTATATGTACAATGTATTTACGTACATTATGCATGAAATTATAAGTCCATCATACATGTACCTACATGTACATACATTCGCACATCGATATCTTCAAGGTTAAAAGCCTCGCCTTAAAGAAGATCCAAAGTAGAGTAAATTGGCTATAAGCGAAAGCAATGAGATTTCTATACAGAATAGCCTCAAGCTTCCAATAACAATTGAGAAAGGAAAACCCCAGCGCAGGTCTTGAGACATATGTAGCTTCGGGGGGCAAAGTAAAGTGACGGAACCCGGCATCATCGCCGCTGATTCCACAAAGGAAAACTTCTTCCATCTGTTCCTGAGCTTCTCCTCAGCTGTCCACACGTTTCCATGCCTTATAAAAAGGGAAAAGAGATTGACCTGCATGCATCGGTAAAGCAGAGTACATCCTACGGCTGCGTTCCGGAGCAGCCCACAGGGGTAGTGAGATTTGACAGAAGTCCAAAGAAAGTAAGAAAGGGGCAAGGAGGATAAAGAAAAACCATTCAAACCGCATACTCCATGCCATGGTCGATCGTTCCTGACACGTTTTTTTCTACCCGCATCACCTGCATCTGTTAGTCATACATGCATGGCACCCAATCCCCAGAGCCGGAACAAAGGAAGGACAATGGAAATGCAATCACGCACAGTAGGTAGATTCAGCTGTCAGACCCGTGAGTTTGGAATTCTACCTGCAAGTAGTAACTGTTACTATTAATTCTATGTAGGTACATGTGTACCTACCGTACTGTACTTGATCTGGAGTGCATATACGTACAAAATTCTGTAGTTTACTCATGCTCTACTCCACCTACCGCGTATAAACCAGATGTACGTGCATGTAGTAGGTACATGTAAATTGTCCTTACTGCGAGAATACATGTACAGCGATTCACAGGCATTTGGCGAATACACCCATTTGGCGAATTTGTATGTAGCAACCAGCCAGCAACCAGTCAAACTGCGAGTTTGACTAAGATATCCTGATTCTTATTGGCCGTGACCCCTGTTCGTCAAATGGGTGTATTCGCCAAATGCCTGTGAATCGCTGTACCTAAGTTTCGCCAATTAATTCTTGGCGTGAAGACGGATTAAAACCCAAACACGGTGGCGGTAACTTGACATAGGTACATGTAAGTACAGTACCGTATGTACCGGGTGTTGAGGGTAAGTGATCAGAATCTGATAAGTGAATGCTGCGGTAAATACGTGTATTTGTCTTATCAGATTCTGATCACTTTTCGCTACACCCTAGTACATATATGTACGTATATGCATTGTGTTACTCTATATTCGCCATCGTACATTACATACGCATCTAATATGTACTCGGGGCAGGTAACAAGAACCTGAACATAAAAACGCGCTAGCAGGGGTCAAAGTGGTTGCTACCAGAAAAACGATGTTCAGGTTCTTCATGCCTACCGCGAGTACTGTAAAAGCTCCGTTTTCGCACTTTCTCGACAGCTGATTGGTCGAGAGCGAGAAACCCTAGCCAACATGGCAACCAGCCCGCCCCATGAATTGGGGGCCGAAGGCCCCCCATAATACACTGAAGCCCAGACGGAGGTGGAAAGAGGTGGCCCGTTGAAGCTTCCCTTATAACTCAACTCGCGGTCGCGAGTGAGATGGAACCCCTAGTCTACATGTACTCTACTGGTGCTGCAGAGTGGGGTGCGAAGAAAGCGAGGGAGTGTTTCTCACGTACACAGAACAAGTCACGCAGAGGTTCCAAACAGTGGTCTGGGAAAACCGGTAGACTTTGCCGCTCGCGTTCCAGGTTGGGCCCTCCATTTCCATTACCACCACCACCACATTCATAGCAGGTATGATATTCCTGTAGTTGAAGATCGGAAAGGGCGTATCAGCTGTAGACCAAAGAATTAATACATCCAATTCCATACTGCCCGCCAATCCTCATGGGCGACTGCTGACAAACTGCAATTTAGATCGATATACATAATCATCCAGTCGATATACATGTATTGAAGAGGAACTCTCCACGTTTCTCTCTCCTTACTCAGTAGGTATTCCTAGAAAACCTCTCTCTCGCGGCACTGTCCTCGGATGATCATGAATGCGCTGATAGACTTCCCGAAAACTAGAGTTGAATAACAAAATAAAGCTCTTTGTACGTGCCTTTAAGTTTCCAATTTTCTAGGCTCTTTGTCACCTTACATCGTGAAAGCCGAAACCTTTCAAAGATGACTATTCACTTGTATCAATCATGGTTCCCTCTTTCCAATAGGTACCAATTCACCACCTTCAAAACTATCCTTCCTAATGGTGCTTGTTCTTAACTTGATGTGGGTTCGAGTGATCGGAGGTGTCGCCTTTAGAGGACGGGAGGTGGGTGATACAACCACTCACGGGCATTGGTCTTGGGCTAAATCAAATATGGATATAATTGGATCGGTGGAACCGTACAAATTAATATTTCCCCTCATGATTACTGAAAACTAACTACAAAGCCTCTCAGATCAGCAAACCAGGGGGTAGCAGCCGAAACATATATAGACATACAGCATGTACAGTTGCGTGTAATATGGGACAATCACAAAAAGGCGGCTTTCGGACAACCGAACTAATAGCTACAGTATAGGTATCAGCCTGAGACCCGCTTTTTGGCTACTAAGTTGCCTTGCTTTTCCTGCAACATGTTTCTTCGTTCTACGAGAGGCGACTGTTAATTGTTGCATTCTCAAAGTGCATCTTTAATCTTTACGCATATAGCTAAATATATAGCCCTCAAGCACACCTAGATCGACAAATATACTCATGTACTGATCAAAGCTAGCGGTACAACCTGTCTAAGACATCTATATCAAGATAGACGACCGTGATGTGTGAGATTGGATATGTCCTCACAGCTAATTCGTTTGCGTGGTTTTACCACACAGCTACAGGGGATTTTGACGAGTCGAGTTTACCGATAGTTTAAGCACAAAAATAGCATTTCCATTTATGGAAATAGTATAGATTGCAAGTGGCTACTATGTACATACTAGCTAGCTAGTCGAATCTCTATCACGGGTCACAAAACCCTCGATATGAGATGTTCACTCGTTACAAGGACGGGCGCCCGGGTCTTATATTTTACTATTTTAAGCATCCCTTCGCTGGCAATAAATATCTGGTAAATCAACAATAATATTTACAGCGATCCCCTCGACCTGTGCTCAGATATATAATTATATTTTCTTCAGAATCATCCGGGATGATTTTGAAAGACAAATTCCTTTGATTGGATATGTGGAATATATCGTGAAACTCTAAGCTAGATAGTAACGCCCCAGTGAGAAATTAACTAGAAAATCCTGTATGATTTCACACATCGTTATGTGTATGTACTTGTAGACGTGACCCCTATAACAAGCTTTTCAAGTACAAGTTTACACGTCTAAATCCATATTGCGAGTGATATAAAATGAACCGATTTCCACTGCAGAATTTAGGATCTATGTACTTCTTTCACCTAGCTAATATTATAATCACCCTGTTCTGTCCTATGTATGTACATATGTACGCGTACGCGTAATACGTATTGAGCAATCACAGAAGACATGCAATGCGCATTTGCATAATTATAAATGATATCGCGATAAACTGGTAACAAATGCGGCATAGGCTTATATCTTAATACACTTATAATTTGGAATATATTTCTTTCTCAAAGATTCGACGGCTTGACAAACCTCTTGTTTCTTTGTTTGGACACAATCAATATTCTTCTTTGTTAACCTGTTCCTTATAACGACAACGAACGACCGCACGGGGTCAACAGTTAATAATCTTCGATAATCATAAATAGAAACTACAGAATTCTTACACTAAAAAGAATCGGAGTTTTATCAGCGATTTATTCAAATCACCAAACGAGAGACCAGAAATGCCTGATTGCAATTGCTCCGCGGCCAATGACCGACAACGGATCATTGACAACGCTAGCTGGCTAGCCGGCCGGGATGTTCGTCTTATCACTCTATCGGGTCTGATATCTGGTGAGCCTGGCACACTTTACCCTCAAATATGCGCGCTCGTTATCCCGGCGGATGTAAATCCGCATGCGTTGGGCAGAGAATTCTCCAAGGAAGTTCTTTTCAGCGCAAATTATACAGATACCAGGAGGGACCCATCACAGAGAACGGGAATGAAAGAACAAGACATGGTTGATGAAGCTGTGAAGCTACTTCGACGAGATATAGAGAGAGTGGTGGGAAGGGTTATACAATGCGATCAGCACGGGATTTTCTATATCGAAAAGCCGAACTTAAGACGCGACTGGTCAAATATTCAGAAGAATATTTTTCAGACAGGGCCGTACCCTGCAAGGGTCCCTAGGGAGGACACTAAAATATCACAGCCGCGGATATTCGTTGATTACACCAACGAAGAATTAAAGGAGGCGCTTCAAAAAACACAGCCAACATCACAAATCCCTCTTGATCTCAGCGATTCTGATTCTGGTATCTTTGAGCGTGCTAGTTATGCTGCAAGTCAGGCCCTGCGCGACGATTTGAGAGCTGTCGCTCATGAAGTTGGGGCAGAGGAAAGACAAAGAACTGCCGAATTAGAAAGAAAGAAAAGTAGGGAGTCTTCGCGCTCCAGGACCAAACTTAAAAGGGCTATTGAGCCAACGCCGGTTGATACGACCAAGAGGAGGAAGGCCCGGAAGCTATAATCGTGGCTCAAGATAAATGGAGACCTATGTTGAAGTTATTCCCAGAATTAGTCAGAACTTTCGTACCTAAAGATGCTATTCCATTCCTTATTTCATTTGAGAAAGTTCTATATATACTACCGATGAGTGTCAAATGTAATTGTTATTTCTACGTGAATTATTTTATTGGAAATGATATATGTACCGCATTATACAATAGGTAAAATCTCAATCCGTAATAGAAAAGGCACCCGCAATCACAACTCTTACCAGAGTACGGACAGGTCTCAAGAGCCCAACTTTGTTAATAAGGCTTTGAACTGATACCAAATGATGTCATCATTTAAGCCTTTTAAGTCAATGATGTAGATGTCATGTCAGGTGATATCCTAGCCGTTAGTTTAACATGATTCCATATATATGAATATCTACGATTAAACCATGCATGCATTATAATATCTACCTAAGAGGCCCTGGACTACCCCACGTAAGCTTATTGTGATTTAATTAGTGGGAAATATATCGGAATATCTGACCATGAAAATCCCACGTACTTTACGAAATAATTCATGCATGATCATAACGAGATAGTTCATGATAATCAAAGCCTAACCTCCATGGCCAGTTGGCGGATGTATACACAAATAAAATAAGTATTATTACATAAATTCACATATACATATATGAGTTTAAACTCAGGGTCTCTGAGATATCAAGTGCTAGAGTCATTGGCGTTAGAGAAGCTGTACTTTGAGTAGCTAATTTCGGATCGTTTATTGTCACTCGATTCATGATCACTGCTGATGGTTTACCAACTGACCAAACTCCCAATTAATTGACAAAATTGAATATATCACAGTTAAAAGCGAGGTCCACAGAACTATACTGTGTTTCCCTAGGCCTCCAGCTTTGCACCCTTCACAGATCTAGAACCGGCCCCCTCAAAAGATTATTAGGTAGCGGGATCCCTACTATGTAGCTATAAGGGGGATCTCCTACACAGTTTTATGTAACCAAGCTAAGTTTATTTAAAGTGTGGTGTTAACTTGATATGCCAGGATCAAGTAGATCGATCCGTGAGGACCACATCCTGTAATTAAGCCTATAAATATAAGACGAATAATCGATTTTTGATTATCTATGTGATATCTGTCTAGCTCGATTGGGCAGTGAAATTACATAAGACAGTGAGTTTCAGTGAGTAGATCAACTTCCCTACCGCAAAATCTCAGGAATAACGAATCGAACTGGACAGGGAATATTTGACTTCGGATTGGTCAAATGCTTGTACAATTGTTGAGCCTCAATCCGACAGACCCAAGGCGTAACTTCTGGTCGTCTTGACCAATAGGTAAGTGGTATTCCAGCCCAGTCCGATTCGTTATTCCTGGGATTCTGCTGTATATATATATATAAATTTAGCAGACCATTACCTCAGTATTCTGCCCCTCCTGCCATCTAGCTATGCACAACGATTGAATATTTACCCCAACACATTCTTCAGACTGAAGCTAAATATTACAACTATAAATATACATATATATACAAACTACCATTTGCTCCTCACCATTTGAAATTTCTCCAGTGTCTTCAACGCAAGCTTCAGGAGGCTATTTACCGCGCACGGTCAAATATTCAAGCTGGAAGAATATAAAATGCAGCCTAGTGATTGCTCGATCGAGGTCACAAGAAAAATTGAGCTCTGATGTGCATGACGTAGGTAGAAGACTTGAAGAAGAATGCTGGAATGTCCGTTGTCATCCTAGGCTCTTGATTAATAAAATAAGGTGTACAAGGTGAGGGTTAAGTATTCCGAGGGAACTCCTACTGAAATGATTGGTCCTGGCCGGGTGATGTACACGTTTCTATATGGTTTGAGAACCAACAACTAATATAGAGCTAGTTAAACTACTCATACTGCAGGACAAATCTTGGCCCTTAGGAGGATGAGTGAGAAGCCGGTGGGTGCCAAGATATCCTTGGCGCCAAGATATACCGAGTGAGCAGTCATGAACGAGTGATGGTTGGTGTACACGCCTGAATGATTGATTGATTGATAATTCATTAATTGTGTGTATGCACCTGAAAATTTCAGACTACCGTGCGAGATATCGTATGCTACATGGTGTTAATGCCATCCCATGTTATCTTTGTGGCTTAAGAAGTGTTTTGTGGATCCATGGAGCCGGTATGCATATATGATAAACGTCGAATACCCGCCGGCTCCCCATTAATCCATAGTTCATATATATATGACCGATAGAGGATCGATAGTCTCATGATAAAACCGTGTTATTTTATCTGCAGAAGTAGCGACAGACGTTTAGGAAGAAGAATACTTAGAATGTACAAAGAATACCTTAGCGTAACTCCTTTAGCAAGTACTTACCTAGGTACAAAACACTTCGATGATCCTCCGGCTTTCTACCCTAATCCAACACAATTAAACAATTGTTAGATTGACAAAACACTTTCCCTTGGTCTAAACTCCCTCCTATTCATCATACAACGTGTTTAAACCGGAATTCTAGAGCTTAAAAAGAATAATCAGGCAGTTTGCACCCCCCGAATGAAAAAGGGAAGAACGGCAGCCGATGTCGCCGGTGACCGGTATCTATATAGGGCTACGCCGAAGTAAGCGGAGGAATAGGCAAGATTAGAGCTATGCCAAAGTTTCTGGTACGATCGTGTGCATGGTTTTCCAATACACTCCAAAGAGTTACAAACCGATTCATCCGTGCTCACCTCCTTCGAGAAGTACGCCGTGGACTCAGGATCGGGATAATCGAGTTCCAGCTCAAACATCAGATCTAGATCTGGTGATTGTCGTCCGTTTCCGTGGCCATCGTCGCAGCCATCTAATACCGATACATCGGTGGCGCCCTCTGTGCATGTACTACGGCAAGTCGGGAAAGAAACCTCCGCTCTCTGCTGTAGACGTTTTAGCCTTTTTAACGTTTGAGACTTTAGGTCTGTATACGAAGTCTGGAGAGAGATATCGTCTTCCCACTCATCTTCAGTAGCTCTGCAGCTGGTCATAGATGCCGAGTCGGGAAGAGCAATAATATCTTCTTTCTCATTATATTCCTCGCCGTCTATTGTACCACTAGTTCTTTCACTGATTTTCTCCGTATACTGCAAGTTATCGGGTAGATTACCATAACATTCCGGGCAGCGCTCGAACCCTCGATATTGGTCGTCGTCCAAGAGGTGCCGGCAAATGCAGTGATAACGGTTGCCAGCATGAGAGGCACCGGGTTTAGGCTCAGGACATTCTATAACGACGCATTGCCCTGTCGCAGGTTCATACCCACAAATGTATTGGATATAGAGATACTGGTACATCTTATTGTTGCAATGGTTGGGGTGGTAGTTAATGCGAGGAAGGCGATGGATGAGGTTGAATACTGATGTACACGAGAACTAAGTGGAGTATTTCATCAGAAAAGTGGACAACTTGTTCATTTCAATTATTTTTAAGCCATGATCGTGTTTCTTCCCTTGTCTTTGACCCTTTTTCAAAGGACCACATAGATCCTAATCTTGATGGAATCCACGTACGCGTATATATATCATACGTATACATTAAACAGTACCCGTAACGTCATATAGGTAAAGCTGTTATGCACGCTTGCTTGTTGTAGACCCAGTCTAGTACAGTACAATCTCCTTATAAGGGTACAAAAGTGGCGCGAAGTCGTACCCTTATAGGGCGTCTACCCTTATAGGAGGAGCAAATATGTACCTTCGAAGCCAATTGAGGGCCCCAAACACCTACCCTCATAAGGCGAATACCCTTATAACCCGAACCCTTATAAGGAGATTGTACTGTAACCGTAACTCTGACTCCAATTCTATCCGCCGGTACGTCATGAAATATTCGATACCTACATATCCTTATCCATAATGTTACTTATGGCAGTTCTATCGTTGGTTACATGTACTCATTTCGGCGATTGCAAGCTGGGACGCAAGCGGAGGAAGGGTACATGACGCATGTACAGGTTGTATTACGATCCATGAGTACGTTATATACATAGTATCTCCCCCGCCTCTCTCGCTTAATATCACCCCTCTTCACGCTTTTCGCGCTTGGGCCGGAGGATAATATATCCCGTTGACCCTTTAATCTTGACTCAGGACTAGGTAGGTCCTACTGTGTTGTATTATATATCTCCAAAGGCTTAGGACAACTCTCAAGATCTATATCTAATAAGTATATAGATATACCGATATGCAATGTGTTATTTAAAGGTTTTGATTGGCCAGGTTTGAGGGGTTTTCTTTTTCTCTATCAAATATGTTTGTCAGTAAGTAGATATTCTATCAAATATGTTGGAGTTAGTAGATATTCTATCAAATATGTTTGAGTCAGCCAGTAGATATTGGTTCCAACATACCTTGAGTCAACCAAATAGTATATCAGATATGTGCACAGGGCATCTTGGGGTTTCAGTGATCTTAAGCGTTGGTAAACTGATATTGTTTAAGCCATAACAGTTCCTACTCCGGCCAAAGGCCGGAAAATGCTTGTATTTTCTAAATATATAATACAGTTTGGTTGCAATTGTGCTTCCGGCCACTTCAAAATTCGTATGTTCAAGCAAGGACGCAATTGAAATGGGCCGGCCCGAGTATTAAAATCTGAGGCATGGCCCGAGCCTCAAAGATGAGCCTGGGCCTAATATAAATTTGGGAGGAAAATATTAAGTTCTTCTGATCTGCTGAGCGTGTATGGGGGGAGTTCGTCGATGGGAGAGAACAGATAGAACTTCGCTATATATTCTTTTAACCCCCCCAACGCCCTATCTCATGATATTTGCTGCTTCAGCCCCATCTGCCCCCATATTATCCCTCAAGCCATCTTTACCCAGCCTACCTGGGACTCAAAGGTTCAGATGCCTGGCCAGCTAATACGGGCTCAAAAATACGAGGCCCAGAGGGCCAAGGAAGGGCCCGGGCATGAAGGCCCGACCAGAGGCCCATTCTCGTCCTTACGTTCAAGAACCAATGATGAAACAAGCTAGCTTTTAATATCTTGCAGGTTATCAAAATGATCCGGACGTTCACGTCCCAATCACGCAAATCGGCCACAATAAACAAATTTTGAAACTACTGCCATTTAGCCCATAATGAAATAAAGGTAATACAAGTCCGACAGCTATGATCTTTGGATAGAATCAGCAGAGAAGGCAACCAAATATCAGAAAAGACGAAGACCACGAGTGGCAGATTGTGGTTGAAGCTATGATGGCTCAAGTGAAGGCCAAGCTGGTAGACCGCGCCGGTCAGGAAACCAATTCCAGACTAGATGTATAACTGTTTATACCGGCTGGCGTTGTCAAATACTATCCTATCTTAAAATTCATATTTGCTTGATATCTGCGTTGTGATAGCGCGTAGACGACTCCACCACTCACCCGGACATTTGATGGTCGGGGTGAGAGGAATCTATGTGGTTAGGTTAGGGCTAGGGTTTATGCATACTATATTACTCGCTATTTGCGGGTCCAAGCAAGATATCTCGTATCTAATACAATCCTTAACACCAGTACGAGTACTCCTCTACTACAATATGCCCGTGAAAATTCTAGATAGTTTATTATATGAAATGGTTCATTCAGCTACATGCTTGCTTAGCCAGACCGGTTTTCAAGAGTTGAGCTTGATATTTCTTGTACGTAATGCTAATCCCATGATTTGAAGTCAACCACCACGGACGAGTGAAAGCTTGCTTCAATTAGCACTTTCTGGTTAGATCGGGTTTGCATATCGAACGCGGGGTTGCAACCTCCAGTGCGCTATTAATAAATTGGTACCAAATTTGTTATGTACTGTAAATTCTGACGTTTCTGAACACGACTGCTATTGCATACCATACAAAAAAGCGCCAAATCCACCTTTTTGTATACCATACAATATTTATCGTATTCGGAAACGCTATGAAATTACGAGTATGCAACGGAAGGTAAAACTTCGGAATAAAGTTAATATGAACATATTTTTAAGTGACGCGTAGTACTACATGTAGTTTGAGGCCGCGAGAGATGGAAAATTATAATCCTGGATATTGCATTTCATTACAGCTATAGCCCTGAATACATGTACAGCCACTCTGCAAAAGTGTTCGTGATTCCGATTTCGGAGTGAGACATTTCTCCATAGGTAACCCTGGCGGACCATCAAAAAAACCCTAAGAGAAGACTTTCCCAGTGATCAATGGCGCCCGGAATCAATGAAGAATAAGATCAATGACCTATCTTCTTTTATATATAGTCACGAACTATATTATATATTTTTCGTTGTTTTAAATCTCAACATTAATTAATAACATCAACGTTACGGGTGCGCCACACTGCGCACTGACATTAAAACTAAATCACGAACACTTTTGATGAGTGGCTGTATATATACTACATATATGAAGTTAGCTAGATCCTTCATCTTTGGATAAACGCTCTTTTATAAACTACATGCAGATGGTGGAGCATGGTAATTATGATCTGGGCTTAGACATGGCAGCGGCCAGCAAAACTCGGTCACTGCTATCCCATGGTAGGATGAAACTTGTCAAACTTGCGACCTCCATTTTCCAGCTATCACTAGCCTAGTGTGGTAATTGTTGGAAATTCTTGATTGGCTCTGTTCCGTAAAAGCAAGACAATTCTTTTATTAAGTGGTGCACGGTCCAGGTCGCAAGTTTGACAACTTTCATCCTACTATGGGATAAAAGGACCCGCTATATATTTGCGATATACTTAAGCAATAATATATAGCTATAGGGTTACACATTAATTGGTCATGATAAGATTGGTAATTCATAACGCATCACTCGCAGTACTATCTACCATATTTAATAAGTATCGCTTCGCCTAGCTCACATTGTCAGCGCTACAGCATCATGCCATCGACGATGAGAAGGAATGAAATGACCTCTAACCAATCTAGACGACAGCTAGTGCTATAAGTACTTGCATCCTCAAAACTAAAAGCTCCATTAACTAATTACATGAGTACATATTGTGATCATCTACCATATACGTAATATAAAGTACTATATTAATCTACCCACCAAAAACACCAGTAAACCATCCTCTTCCTACTTCTCTCTCACTCGCCACCCTCTCTACCAAAGCCTCCATCGCCGCCCGATCCGCCAAAACTTTTCCGTCTACAACTCTCTCCTTTACTTCACCCCGACTAAATACCAACAGGGTTGGTACCTTATTAACCTACGCACGACCTCAAATTAGCCGCTACCCAATCCATAAATCAAATCCCAAACATACAGTGTACCGCATCCCCACGTCCATCATCCCTGGCGCATCCAACTCCATCTCCGCAAACCCGACACCGACATTACGGCGCTCTAGGATCTCGGAGAGCAATGGCTTGACTGCACGGCAGCTGGAGCAGTAGGAGGTTGTCCAGAGGGTCAGTAGGGGGATGGATGTAGTAGTGGTGAGGCGGAGAAGCGTGTGGAAGTCGTGATCATTGCGGACACTACAGTGATATTAGCAAGAGGGCCAATGTCACGTAGGGATGGAAGAAGTGTTTACGGGTCATAAATACGGTTATTTAGGGCATTTGTGGAGGCGGTAAGTGTCCGAATGTGCGGTCGGAGAAGTTGGGGAGTTTTGGGGGCTATTCGGGGCAGCATTTTGTCCAAGAATCTACAAGTGGTAGATTCCAAAGTCTTAGGAAATGGTCTTCGGGTGGGTTTTTGGTTGATGTCAACTGGGTGAAACGGCGTCAACTGGGTGAAACTACGTCAGTGGCTTGGCGGACTGGGCCACCCGCATGGATTCAGGGATCGAGTGCTTGTCCGCCTGACCTTGAGATAAAAGTACCTGGTTGCCTGAAGTCCTATCATTGACAGCCCAGGCAAACCCCCAATTCCTCGCCCACTCAATGAAATGGAAAGGGGAAAAAAAAAAAAAAAAAAGACGCTTAATTATCATTATCGCTGATACCGCATCCCCTCTCCACCCCGCACTCGTTAATACAAACGACATAAACAAGAAAATAAAATAAACGTAAAAGGTAAAGGTCAAAAGCAATAAAGAATAAGAAGTAAAGGGCAGTGCCCCTCCCCAAATTTCAACGCCCGCTCTCACCGAAGCATTGAAACGCCATATACCCAACCGAACCGAACCGAAACCAGACCCGCCTATCCCCTTAACCCCTAACAAGTTGAAATAAGACATAGCACTGCTATTGCCTTAACAAACAGAGGAGACAACATAATGGAAGAAAAACAAAAATATCAATGCACGCAGAACAAGTCGGAAATCATGCGGTGGACAATAACCAATGGAGGCAAAGACAAAAACGAAAGGAAAAAAAGAACATGAAAAGATGCAAACAACTATACTCACTACCCGGCACAGAGTACTGCAATCCCCAATTCTGCTTGTTAGTTGCACTCTTTAGACTTCCATTGTTTCCAAGAACCCGTCGTCGTCATATTCATCTCCTCCCCAGACACTTGAACTCTCTTGAAATTCATCGTCAAACACATCGTCGTCACTATCGTCCCACCCTTCTTGTCCGGAACTTACACCGCCCATATCTGCCCTCCATCCGCCCACCCTGTTGATCTCCATCGGCGAGTGCGATAACGAGCTAAGCCCTCTTAAATATAAGTAACAAACTCTCTTTTTATGCTTGTTAAAGAAAAAGAGGTTTGTGGACCATATGAGACCCTCCTCGCCATACGGGTCGTCCGAGACATCGTCAGGCGAGTAGGTGTATATGTTGCAACTGAGAAGGTCCATCTCCTTATCGATAGTGTCCCACATTTTAGGTAAGGCTTTAGAGGGATTCACGCCAAGATTAAAGAGCGTGGTATTGAAGTTGTTCATAACTGGTCTTAGATGTCTCTCGCGCCTAAAGTCGGAGGGTTTTAGAACTGTTGAGAAGTCGTAGTCTGAGTGGGAAGCGTTCAGGGTTGCGATAAGATAAGCAAAAGTGCGCCGAGCAGAGATCTGGTCGAGAGGTCCAAACGGCGAATGGAGGGTTTGATAAACTGCTTTCGACTGATTCTTACCACCGAGGGTTGCCGCTGAGGTCGCACTTGATTTTGGGGGCGATAGAGACTCCGATAGTCTCAGGTCGGCTTCATAGCGGTTGGTGATAGTGTTGGAAATATTTTTGTATAATTTCTTATCAGCGCCGGCGGCCTGAATAAATCGGTGCCCAGGTAATAAAGAATGGGCAATATGTTAGCTTGATATCGAGCTGTAAACAAGCTTTATGTATTTCATTCTATTGTTTTTTTTTCTTTCTTCTTTCTTTATAAGAATATTCAGAATGAGCTGGGCATAGCGACCTTGGTGGTGTAAATGTCACAGCCGCCAACGACTCGACAGTCTGGTGTGTCGAAGACGAGGGCGCGATTGATAACATCCAACTCGCGGAGTGGTAGGAACTGTTGGAAGGTGCAGGTGTCAGCTCAGGGGAACTTTTGAGGGGAGATGCCAACGGTGCAGGTGATGTGCAACCGAGGTGCATGACAATGATCGGAAGCTCTAAATACTAACCTTCATGTTGAGTAAGGTCTGTTGAAAGTGGGAGGATGGTTTGATTAAGGTTATCGTAAGTGAGGAGTAGGTAAGATTGCTAGAGGAGGATAAGGATTGGGAGGAGGTTTGTAGGGTTGTGAAGGTTGTTGGTCGGCTGATGAAGCAGTAGCAGCAACTCAGGGGATGTGCTGAGGATTTGTAGGGGGTGAGGACAGCTGGACCACACGTAATCCCGGATCTTGGAAATAGAATGGTGTGGTGTGAATTTACTACCTAGTATTATGGACTGGCTTTCTTTGTACTCTAGTTTATCGGCACTGCTCTATAGGTACTTCTTGTAACGCCTTTGGCGGTACATACAGAAAATAGACAACCCCCTTAGATATGCTGATGGTATATTGGTATGCTGATCCGTGAGGGCTAGATGTTTAACAGGCAGGCGTGCTAGAAATGGGCGACATGATTGGGATGAATATAATTGGAGCTGTGTAGAAGGTGGTAATCGGTACGGTCGGGCGCTTTAGGGAGACCATCCGAGGTAGAACCACTTTGCGGGTACTATTCAGCACATATCAGCGTTTATTCAAGAACATTCAATCGCCCATTGGCATGGGTGGCCTTGTGACATCATGCCCTTCCCCACGTTTATCCTTGGTTGGCCGGGCCGTCAACTCCCGATCCCAGCTTGCCTAGAGCCTGACATTAACTGTGCCATTAATAGAGCTGCTATTCGGCTGCTTGAGGATAGATACAGATGTTTATTCACCTGAAGGTGAGAGTGCGCATGCGCGATGTACATGTCTGATTCCTCGAGCATAAAACCCGTTTTCATAGCTAACTGATCGCGAGCTATCGTACACGTGGGTTGGGAGAGAAACATCATTCAACATTTCTCCTGTACTAGGCTCACACTATAATCTTTTGAGGGGCCAAGTTCCAACTACGACCAAGGGTGCTGTGGCTCTCAGATCCCGAGCAGAGTTATTATCCGAAGACACTCTCACGGTGCCTGCCATTTTCGATCCTTCTACACAGCTTGATCAACAGCTTAGTTACAGGGTTCAAAGCTCACACATCCTAATTGTCGTCAACATAACTCCATCACTTCTACTTCCTCCAGCTAGTTCACCACTTCTGACAACAACTTCAAGCACTTATACCTCAGAGCTATGTATCCACTGCACAAGACTTGAAGAACGTTGTTGGATGGTTCTCGGTCTTATGATTAGTAAAGTTGGATGAATATGGTGTGAAATTGAACTTCGAAACTATCCAAGGAGCTTGAAAAAGATATATGTTTCTATCTGGCAAATATGGAAACATGGATTGAACGCCTTGGTGGCTAGTGTCGATAGTTCGAAGCTGACTCGTGAATTCCGATGTTGAGTCCTGAACTTCATGGCTCTCCCGGGTTGCTTGGGGGGCTAGGGATATTGCGGGACTCATGAAACACTCACTAGGACCCGAGCCACAACCTTGGTAGTCCACCGCCGAAAATCTCTTTAGACGACCAATATATATTACCTTGCCTGCTAATAATCTGATTAGTTACTTAATCCAGAAGTGGGAGATTTCGACGCCGTTTGGTACGCCGGAATTCATGGCGGGAGCTGTCATTAGTTTTGAACTCGGTAGAAACCTCGATCCCTACCATCGTGCAGTTTAAGTTCGAGTCCTCAGTGGAAGTCCTTCAAGAGGTTGAGGAGTCTGTCATAATTAAACGGTGATGACTCTAAGTCATTAGAATTCCCGAGTCGGCCTAAATCAATCCTAAACATTTACTACTCATATCGTGAATATAACCTATTATCTCGGATAGTAATGGGGTACGGTGGTACAAAATCATCTGAGAATGACCATACTTCGTAGCTGTACTTATGTTTTCGAGCACTCAGATACATATGCGATGGCAAAGTGTTAGTTGACGCTCCAGTAGATTAACAAATTACCCAGCTTTATACGTTTTTCACCCCCTGAGTCAGAACAGTTGACTCATATCTTATGTCATTACCCATACTACCTATCATGCAACGTTTTTGCCGGAATCGATCTTATATTTCTTTGGATCTCGGATAAACTACATATACTGGAATCGTCTGCAACCTTCCTTTACGCCGCGAGAATATGGAACGGCTTTGCTATGATCACCCGGAGTGAATAAACATTACTTCACAACATGCTCCAGAGCTTACAAATCATTCTGACTTACAGTTTCGATCATTTCCTACGGCCATATTTAATTATCAGGCTAGTACATGCGAGAGAGAAACCGAATTTGAGAAACCATATAGTATGACTTAGTCATAGTCTATCACTCGCATTCATCGACAACACTTTCCCTACTTATCTTGTATCTGTGCAACGATACCATTGATAGACGTGGCATTCAGGGCCTGAAACTTCGAGTCCTGTTAGCTCTCTCAAGGATAACCCCGGGAATGGATATTGATATTTAACATCAGACCAAATATCGTGATATCATTGGCTACTCCAGCCCTCACCGAAACAAACTACTCCTATGCTAGATGGCCATAGAACCGGCAGCATTCTATAGGGTTTAGATCCGGCCGTTTCGGGTAAACATAACTTGCAATCAATTGATCACAACTGGTCCAGCAGAGACTTTTCTCAACTGCAGTAAGCTGACGATAGAGGAGTAGTCGGCGACTTCTAAATCGACGCGGAAATGGCTATTGACGTGTTCAACTTGGCTGGTCCAAAAACAGAAATCAGAACAAATCCCATCCTGGGTTATGACGAGTGGTCGTGTGCACAGTTTTAAATTTCTTCCCGTATCTGGACCAGTGGTTCGCTTCTATGGGTCACGTACAGCGGCCCTACATATAACATAGAGAACTTGTGAACAGAAGAAAACTGAGGCAGTGTCCATGCGGAGCTAGGCGGCCGCGGGGTAAGTGCAGCCCATTAGAATATTTCAAAAGTGCAAGAACCACTCTGGAGCTCTCTCTGCTCTTGGGCACAAGGCGCTAAGTCATACATATTCAGAATGACTAGAGCTATAGAAGCGCCTTGGCACATTCCACGCTCTTTTTGTCAGATACTTACTTGCTTACCAACATATATGTATGAACCAGAAAATGGAAGTACTGAAGTGCCGTTCTGCCATACAATCAATCTTTGGTCTTTAGCGTTTTCTGGCTTATATGCTAGTAAGCAAGTACAGATTGGATCTGTTCTACATACAAAGTTGGTAGAAAACGTGCCAAGATAAGATATCGTCAAGTATCCTATCGTATCCGGCACCTTCCGGGAACTGAGGTCCTGTTATCACGGGTTCAACTTAGATGCCCATAGGGCTGTCAGGATGGTGTGCGGATATTATCATTAATTGGACAATGTGTTTAAGAACATATTGTGCATATGCCAAGATATTGCGAGCCGATAACAGAGACGGGTGTTTAATCTAAACTCGAGGACTTGGATAACAATGAGAAATCTCTCTCCTGCTCACCAATATCCCAATTGTTGTCAGCCAAAAACCTTTATTATTAATTTTATTTATTAGGCTTATTTATAAATAAACTACCTAGGGGAGAGTACTATTAGGAGGCAGGGCTTTTGAGTGAGACCTGATAGCTCGATGATCCTTTTAGCGTCGTGTTGTAACGTTGAGACAGTCTCATATTTTTATCTTGTGTCGAAATCTCTCCTCCACTAGAAAAAAGCGTAAGATTTCGGGGCGGTTCCCCCATTTGGAGCTTTCGGCCCTTATGCAGTGCAGTCCAAGCCCTGATAGAGCGATCGTTCGCAGCATACAAGCCCTGAGTAAGCATGGTACGCGTATCGGCTTATGCGACGCTGTAATCAGCACTAGTAGATCTCCAGGAAACAGAAAAACTTCAAGTCGGATAGATACTCCAATCATTCTGTTCTCGCGATGCTAAACTATCACCCCCTGCAGCCCCGTGTATAAATACATACAAAATCTTGTCGTGGGCCCGACCAAAAGCGTCTATTTACGAATGTTGAGAACTGATCGAAGGCTAGCACATTGAATCAACAAGGGAGCGCATACCTGTCCGTTAAGTACCTACATGTACATGTAGGCATTGCTTATTATAACACAACTAAATGTAGAGCATCGATCTTAGGGAGAGCAAATTTCGGGGTTATGGTGAGATATTGTCGAGAATTTCGGTAATCAGATATATCAGTGGTAAATATATACATGGGAACTGGCAAGGATTTGATGCTCTCAAAAGTCTAGACGCGGAGGCTTTATTTATCCTGGACTTCAATTTCAAGTCCCGTCTGGAAGGAAAAAAAAAAAAAAAAAAAGAGGGGGGGAAATTCCTCTTGATATTAAAGTCTAGCTTGGGTCGCAAAGATGACCGAGCTAGCTTGGCACCTGAACTGGCCGGGACCATGTATGTAGTTAGACATAGAGTTGACATGGATTACTGTGACTTCAAAGTTTAAGAAGACGACCTAAGCAGCTGTAAGTTGAGATGTACATACACGTTTGGTGAAAATGAACCACATACTCGGGGCAGGTAAAAAGTACCGGACAATGCAGGTTTTTGGTTCACCAATGGGTGCGCGTGCTAGGCGTGAGCTACTGCAAAAAAGCCCAGAGACAAAACTTGCATTGTCCGGTACTTTTTACCTGCTCCGAGTACTTGGTAAGCGCTCCATTATAATTAAATGTATCCTATGGGAATAGTCCAGGATTGATGGTATAATGTCAAATTAAAGATTGCCCATGTCAGTACTCTATTTAAGTGTGGTTATATTTATCGGCATACTAGACCTAACCTATTCTAGTCTGATGAGATGGATGTGTAAGTGCCGTTTGTATATACATGTACCTACATATCTATGAATGTACTCTAGAGTACATGTAGGTACATGAAGTAGTCAATATATTACATGTGTGTACATGCGTGTAGGAGTAGTCAACATATCTCATAAATCGATCGACGTAACTACCTGTAGCGCCTACTCTTGTCTGACTTCGTGTTGTGTTTTTGCAACCAAACGGGGGTGATTGCTTTTGATCGACCGTAGATGAGTGGATGAAAATATTGAATGGAATCTCAGACAATTGTGTAAACTCATCCGGCTCGCACGGCAGCAGGATTACTCGTATTTCAAAGATTCGAAACCTGTCCGTAGGTACAGATGCATGGCTGTACTGGACACCATGTTTGTGGCGGAGATATCCAAAGGATGTATGTAAGAGATGTCGTTGAACTGGGGCGTTTCAGCGTGCGCCTTCGAGAAGTGAGACCCCAAAGCTTGACTCGGCATGCAGAAATCAAACCTAAGCTTTTCAGCCGCACCCTCAGATCTAGAAGGACTTCCGTATGCACCCCCCAGTCGGGACTATGTACCTACTCTACCTATCCCCTCGGGGCTACAATTCGCCAATCGGGGAGCGGTACATACATAGAACGTGGCTTTCAGGATTAGAGATCAATTGCAGCGTATCACCAGCTCGGGATAGCACCGGTTTTGGCTGTAGGCAAGACAGGAGGATTTTTTATTTCTACTAGCTGTCCTCCCCCCCTCCCCTCAATCACATAAACCCTCTCTTCCAATCTTTTTTCTCTTCATCCTATTATAAATCAATTTCCGGCGCAACTTTCTCGTTTCTCAACTTTTTTGTCTTAGTCGCCGACAAATTAACACGCAAGAATCAAGGGTTTCTCCGTTCATTCGTGATTTGCAGTAATGTCTTTGGAGCCCAGGCCTTCTGTTCGGTCGGCTAGTGGATACAGAAGAGTGAGTATACATCCAGACGAGGGTGAAATGAGAAGTATAGACGGTGTTGTCCACGTACACCCCCGAGGAGAGGAAGATCCCGACTCGGATCCAGATCTTCGTATATCTCGACGTGTTACGGAAGACTTCCAGAGAAGATGCGGGAACGGTAGGAATCCTCTATTTTTCGATCTATTCAAATATTCATAAAACTTAACATTCATGTGTCTAGCCATACCGCCGCAATGGAAACCCCAAAACCCTGAAGAGCTACAAACACATTTCAGTACAATGAATAGGGAGACCCAGTCTCACTTAGCCCGACAGCACTCGGCAAAGAAGCAGTTTTTTCACCTACTCTGGAAGATACTCTTGAGATGGTTCGCTACTTTCGTACTTTCCGCAGGCATGTTGGTCACATTTTATGAGTTTGAAAAGGTTATGATTTTGGACAAATCCCAGAAAAGATGGTTCAACGCTTTGTCCACAGGTCTATATTTAACACTGGGACTAAATCTTGCCGTATGTTTTGACTTGCTATTTTAATTGGAGAAGTGGTCATTTACGAAATGATATCTTTAAAATCTTCACAATCTTGCACACGTTTCTATTTGATAGCAAATTTCTTAGAGCTAACCGTAACCTTTTCTTGATAATACCAGGGTTCATTCAAAGGGATGGCAACTATCATCCGATGGAAGCTACTATCAAGGAAGTCTCATTCATTAGAAGAAGTATGCATTACCCGCCCGGAAACAATAGTTTATGAGTTAGGTCACTGATTGATTGTGCGATAGGTGGACTTTATTCTAGGAATATCTAGTTTGATAAAGGTTTTCCGTTTCGGCCTCCATAGTTTGAAAGGCCGACCGCTGCGAGCGTTCCTTTGCTTCTTATGGCTTCTCATTAACTGTGTAAGTATCACCGGCTTTTGTGCTTAGCATTGCATACACAAAGACCTAACAATATGTTTAACAGATTGGGAGACTTTCTGTTGCTCTTACGGGGTTAACATACAGCTATGATAGTGCCGACGCATTTTTTTCTACTCCAGGACAAGTGGCCATCAGTGACCTGTCGTACTTTTGGCCCTCGAATGATACAAGTGAGAAACCGGCACCAGGCGCCGAGTATTCTACAGCTCATGCTTGGGGCTTATGTAAGTTCTGTTGCGGCTGGCTGGAGACATTGACTTTTGATGCATAGAGGGGCTGACCTAAATCTACGCCTTCAGCTTCAATATTACTTGGTAATTCAGAGGAATCTCACTTTGGTGAATTTGCTCATGTTCTTGAAAATCACGATGGACAATGGCGTTACTATGTAGGCATCTGGACGTATTTGAAGTACGACAGGGATATATTCTGATATAAACATAGTTCCGGGAATATAGCCCAACTAACCAAGCCATATCACACAAATCGGACCGGTATATTACGGTCTCTACGACTTGCAATTATTTTCCTGTGATAAAGGGCCAAAATGGCACTACAGATTCTATCACATATCGTAATGGTACTGAAGAAATAGAGCTTAAAGATGTCGGGGTATGTGCATTCTGTTTACTATTCGCTGTTGAAATCATTAACAAGGATCTAGTATCATTCACGCGGCGTAACGTGGGTTTATAAATAAATTCCACCATTTCCATACAGAGGAAACTAACAGTCTTACTTTAGAACTTGGTTGAACCTACGAAGTGATTTATTGGGAAATGCCGAATGGTACTGTGGACCTAGATGCGCTGCCATGGCTGCTATCCAATATCTTCCATACGACCCCAACCTAGATGCCGATATTGAGAAACGAGATGATGATGACGAGGATGACCAGAATAGCGATTCAAACGAATACGGATCCTATTTCTCATGTACAATTGACATTTCAGAAGTGCACAACGCCAAAATTCCCGAACACCATCTTCCAGATCGAATGGCAGTCATCGCGGCAGGTGCGATCGGTTCTCAAGGATATGCGAACGGATACAATACCTCATGGGCTTCTGTTGGTTACTATGAAGGGTGAGATTAAATTCAAAAAAAAAAATCCTGTCAATATGTGTTTCTAACCAAGAGGGCAGGACAATGTGGGGTGAACGTGTGGAAGGGGATGCAGAACGTATGGCTGAGTTAGGCGGCCAATTTGCGTGCGGAGTAATTGCATCCCGTGATCAATTTGGGTCATCGACCATCAAAGCCCAGGGGAATAAGCCTGCGATTGGTGTGCTATTGAAGATTAAATGGCCAGAAACGGTTAGTACTAGGAAAATTATCTCGTCTATATAATTCTTGTGTTAATCCAACCCGTAGATTGCGATACTTGGGGGAATTTTGCTGGCACAATTAATCATGGGGTTGATGGTCATCTTATGGTCAACTACGGTCATCTGCAAGGCCGACTCTTATCTAGCCACGGCAAGATTACTTAGACGTGAGAGTGCCCTTGGTTTTAGGCATAAGTCAACTCTTACTAATGTTGGGAAATTTGTAGCAATTGTCGAACGTCTTGGACCAAATGGTTGCTATCTCACAGGCCAAGAAATATCCAGTACCTTTGAAGGCCGTGTGGTGTATGGTGTTCGAGTGGATCCATCGGGTACGCGTCACCATCTCGATATTGGTGAGGACATCACTGTGAAGAAGCACTTTCCCGAGGGCTGGTACGACGGAGAGGAGGATTCGATGTATCCGAAGAGTAGTACTTCCTGCCAGGAGACAAAATCTTTAGAGAGAGCCGGAATTGTACGAGACAAAACCAGCACCCCAAGGCTACGGAGACGCCGGATCATAAAGAAAACTCGACGTGGTACTGTCTTTGTTTAATTCTATATAGTCCTCGGGGATTCTTTTGTTTATTTTATATGTTTATTACCGGCTGCATGCCACATCATGTAGATTTTCTTCATCATTTTCATTGTTCGGGGAGTATTTCGCACCAATTAATTAGATCTCCTTATAATAGATAGTCATCCGCATTCTTTGATTAGAGTAGAAAGACCTCCTAAACCACTTTTATATCTTTCCTTTCCTTTCTCTTCCCCTTTTTCCATCCACTCCCCCTTTCTTTTCCTTTTTTGTTTGCGGGGGGATGAATTTTTTTTTATAAAAGATGGATGATCAGAGCTCAGAAGTAAACGTGCTTTCATAGGTATATTTCAAAGTTTTATTTCATCAATACGTTTGTACTTGCCCATATAAAATAAAAATAGTATCAACATAAGCATCACCTTGCGATGATTAATGCTTTATTTACTGCGCCCTAGTGATCTAGTATTAAATAAACACCAATCAGAGGCCACTGAGTAAGGTGTATCCTTACCAATTAAAAAGATCATTGGCCTTGAGTCATCTAAGAACTCAGCCTAACTAGCGGCCCACAACCTCATCTGCTGAAATCTATCGGTATATATTTTCTACTCTGACCCTGTGTTTACTTATTGCGTGTTTGTAATTACTCATCGCCCTTTTTTCAAAAACTTCTAAATAAGGGAGATTTTGTTTCTCAACATTAATGGCCAAAAACAAGAAACAGTGCATGAGTATAAGGATGCCTCCGGCCATGATCGGGCTAGTGGGGACTGTCCCTAATTATAAAGCCGGCTTTAAATCAAGAGAACAGGCATTCCAATGTAAGGATCTCATTCCTAAATTGAATTACTCCCGCTGCATGGCAGATCTAATCGTGGCTAGATCATGGTGAGCTGGAGCTCGAGCGTTACAGCTCTGCCACACGATGTCAGGTCATACTTGTAGCTAACAGAATTCCTTTCGGGTGGAGGTTGAATGTACTCCCGAGCTTCCCGTCGTTGCTAAGAAATTTTCGGTATGTAGCTATTTGGAACAACATTTTCAAAAATAAATCATGTTATCTAAATTTTTATTTTTCTACTCTGGTCCCGTAACACCCTCTCTTCTGATGTCGCGAGGCGGAGCTTCAAGGATCTCATATTGGTTTTTTTTTATTTAGCCTGATGGGAACGTCAGGAGCAGGCCCGAGTGAGAATCCATGCAGAAGAGTAGCTAATGACTAATCAACAACCAATTAACTATTCCTCTTCTGCAAATTCAAATAATTATCGTACGCAGGAAAATTATATAACACTGTAAGCGACGGCTACTGGTGTCATCCGTAGGTCATGATTGTATGTATATTTACTTAATTATTTCTCCACAAAAACACTCAGAACCAACTACAGGATCCAGCGTGGGGGTATCGTCGAAGGTCTAATTAAGGTTATGTGCCTACAGGACCCTCGAAAACCACAAACCTAGCCCCATGAACGCTACCGCATCACCGAATCTCACCACGGTCCCAACGAGGCTACCCCAGCGTCCATAACAGCACTATCCAAGAACAGACAAAAGACCCCTTGACGATATTGTGCACAGCCACGGTTTACTCCCGTTTTCCATCAGACTATCAACGCTGGGATACCCTCCGCTCACCATGTGCAGCATCGTCCATCAACCCGACTCCCGGCCCGTCAAAGTCGATCTCCCCTAAGCCAAACGCATCGGGCACTTGCACCCAACGCTTCTTGCCACCGAGTCGAGTCTACTACTACGAACCCACCAAAGGCATCTATCTTCCGCCCAGCATACGTACGCGTACACCTGAACCTCCGCCAGCCGTCGGTATCAATCATCTCGGAGCTCCACTGCCGTCCAAAAATGCCTAACCCCGGCACCTCGAATCGAGCTTTTTTCTCTTCCGAACATCTCGGATCACGGAGTGTGTAGACTTCCGCGGTAGTGATGACGTCAAGAGGAGCCGCGTGAATCACGATAAGGATCTAGAAGCTAGCCCCGGGGGCAGTGGGGGGAGACGCGTAAGACTCCGTCGAACCTGTTTCTGTCCCTAGAAGCTCCGTAGAGGTGTGGTGGTGGTATTAGTCCAGATGGGGGATAGACTGATAGGTGGGGGTGGCGGTATGGTGGCTACGGATGTGCCGTAGATACGGGCACCGGCTGTGGGGAGTTCATACCGCTCTGGGCTGGTGGGTGCGTTACCCTGTCGTGTTTGGCTAGTGGGGGACTCGGGAGGACTTGGCTTGAAGGTCAGCTACCACATGAGCGGTTCTAGAGACGCTTCACCGCATTTGGATACTGCGTTCACTGCCTAACTAACCCGTACCGTAGAGCCAGCGGCGTGGAAGAAGGGAAGAGCTGTTTGCAGAACCGGTCCAAGGCCGGTGCAGGTCCACGCCGCCGCCGTCGCGAGACTTGGCTAGTTGATGCGGCGGACATGCCTCTGCTTCACGGCCGGAGGGAGGTCCGTAGCCTTAAAGAGTCTCGGGAACTCTCTTTGCCCCGAGAAGGAACCTTAGATGGAGGGTTGACCGCCGTTTGCATCGCACAGCAATCCCGCATGGCGTGTAGTGCATGCACAGAGAGGAGGACGCGCGTGTGAGAAAATCACTGCCCGGTTACAAGAGATCTAGATATAGAGACAGATGGAAAGGCAGTGGAAATATATCTTCCCTGGTGGCCAAGTTGATGTAATCGCAAAGTCGATAGCTATAGCTATGAGCGGAAGTAGTACTCCTGCTCATCATCGGTATGAGCAGTAGAAGCGCTGTGTCTAGAATTTGAGCGGATATAATTCCTCTAGCAGGCCAACTCGGTGTTAAACCTTAACCCATATTAACAGCAACGTCGACTCCTCGACAACTCCGGGCATCCAAGAGAGCTTCGGAAATCGGTAATTTGCAAGCTACGTAGTAGATACACCCCCCAGCTCAAGCATCTTCTCCGGGGGGGGGGGGAGGCGGTCTATCCTCCCAGTTTCTGTGACTGCTCTATTGAATCCGTAGCTATAGGGCTGTTTCAATTCATCAAGCCCCCCCCCCCCCAGACTCTGTGACTGCTTGTGACTGCTCTACTAGATGATCCGACTGTGACTGCTCGTCTGAATCCGTCCTTCACCGTTTCCCGAGAGATCCAAGAATTCCTTGCTTGTTTGCGTAAACTTGTGCCATTACTTGGCCGGATGTCCGGCTTCGGGGGGGGTGCTCAGAGAGGAGGTTCTACTAGCTCTTCTGGTGTACTTGAAGCGGGTAACCAGTGTCCTATTGTAAATGTAGTTGCGGCTTAAAGACATGTGCGGTGTTGTAAGTTGTCGTTGATTTCAGCTGTGATGTTGGCTAGCTAGTAGTGATGATGATTATGGCGGTGATGGCGGTGATAGCAGCGGTAATAATACTAGTGATAGTGATAGTGATGATGGTGGCTCTTGCAGCCCCATCGAAGGCATCATCACCATTGAGTGCAACAAATGTAATATGCGCAACTGCTGTGTTGAGGTTTTATTGCGCTATCATTCTTGGGATACGATTGAGCGGCGTTGGCTAGTTATATTCGTTTGGACTACACATTGAACGACAGGCGGCCGCCTGAGTGGCTACGCAGTATAAACCAGCCACAAACCAAAGAGCAAAGAGCAAAGAGCAAAGCAAAGCAAAGACTCGACATCACATGACAACCCGAGTGACACCCCATGACGCACACAAAATGAGCGTCCTATCATTACCCCCGCCCAACCCTAGCCCTGCCCTGCGCACCCCCCCACCCCAGCCAGCCCGCCCGCCCCTAGCCCTAAGCTCTACACTACAGCTACATAACTACATGCACCCTACACATCAAACACCATCCCCACCCCGGGCCCGCCCATACTCGCCAAATCCATCCTCCACCCCCTCCACTGCTCCAGCCCCCGCTTGACCTCCCGCACCCTCTCCAGCCGCTCCATCTCCATGCGCCGCCGCTCCTCCTCGGCCTGCATCTGCTGCTGCTGCCACTGCTGCTGCTGCGCCGCATACCCGCCGCCGCCGCCGCCGCTGTCCCCGGCCCCGAGATCAACGGTCTGGAACCCACCGCCGCCCCCGCCCCCGCCGCTGCGCGCCTGCAGGTCGCGCTCAAGCGTCTGCACGCGCTTCTGCAGCCGCCGCCGCTCGGCGTCCTCAATCTCGTCGACGTCCTCGTCGTCTTTTCCGTTGCCCCGCGGCTGCGAGCGCAGCCGGGTGTTCTCGGCTTCGAGCTCCGATACGCGCTTGCGGAGCTCGCTGAGCTCGGCGAGGGACTCGCGGTTGCGCGTGTCGGTGTCGCGGTACATTGTTTTCAGCGTTGCGTAGTCCTTCTCCAGAGTTGCTAGTGTGGCGGCCTGGGTTTTCATCGCGGCGGACTCGGAGGCGAGGGAGGCCTTTGCGGATGCTGCTGCGGCCTCTGCGGTTTTCCGCGCTTCGGTTTCGGTGGTTAGGAGGGCGGCGGTGGACTCGAGGGTTGATTTGGCGGTGGTGAGTTCGGCGGTGAGGGATTCGACGGTGGATTCGATGGTTGTGAGGGTTGTTGTTGTGGTGATGAGGTTGGACTGCGAGTCGGTGAGGGACTTTATGGCGCGGTCGAGGTCGCCGCGCAGCTTGGAGATCTCCATTTCCATAGTTTCGATCTGCTCCTCTTTTGCGGTGAGGGATTCTTTGTCCTGGGTGGTGGAGGAGGTGGAGGATTGGAGCTTGAGGTCGGCGATCTGCTTGTCTTTGTTGGACAGCTGCGAGGTTAGGTGCGACGTCTGGCGCGTCAAGTCTGCGACTTCGTTTTTCTGCACACCCGTTAACTCACGGCCCTCTCCACCACTAAAAAGACAGGAATGAGGCTCACCAGCTTCTCCAGCTGTCCCTCCGCCTCCGTCCCCTTCACCTTGTCCGCCTCCGCCCTCTCCTCCACCTCCTTCAGCCTCGTCTTCACCCCCGCCAGCACCTGCACGGCCTCATCCCTCTCCACCTCCGCATCCCCCAGCCTTTTCGCCTCGCCCTTCAGCCTCTCAATCTCTGCCTCATGGCGCTCCACCGCCTCCGTAAGCTCCGAGATGGTCGTCGCCTGCTTGCGATACAGGTCCGGCAGGTCCGTCGGCGACAGTGGGCTCTTGCGGATCTCAGCGCCGGTGATTGACGGCCGTCGCAGCGAGGTGGAGATGCGCCGCGTGTGCAGCGAGGTGCCGGGGAGGGGCGTGGACTGGTCCGTCTCGGAGGAGGGGGAGGCGGGGGAGTCGGATGGTGGGGGGGGTGTGCTGGTGGAGGCAGGGGCGGGGGTGTCGTCGGGGACGTCGGGGGTGCCGGGGCGGCTGCTGGAGGGGGAGGGGGAGTCGGGTTTGGCCTTTTTGCCTTTTTTCTTTTTGAGCGCTTCGATCTGGGGGGGGTGGTGGTGGGTTAGTGGGGTTGGGAATGAGGCCAATTGGAGCTGAGAGGGGAGGTGGGTACTATACTCGTTTCTTTGCGGCTGCGAGCCGTTCGGCTTTGGCGGCTTCGTCTTCGGGCATTGGTTTTGGGGGGGTGGGGGGGTTTCTGGCTGTTTTGGCTGTTTTGGCTGTTTGTTGAAGCTGTGGTGGTGATGGTTTGGGTCGTGGAGCTGTGAGGTTTGCTTGCTTGCTTGCTAGCTTAGGACGGCGGTGGGGAATGAATGCTGTTGCGATTACCCGGATTGCGCTCTCTCTCTCTCGGACGAGGCTCTGCGGGCCAGCAAACAACCCCTGCCCTGGCGATCACGTGGTCGTGCAGCACAATCAATGGCCGAGCCACAGCTGGACTGGACTGGACAGAAGCGGTGCGCTGCAGGAATATCTCTGTTCGGTGCAAGGATGAAGGATGGAAGGGAAGAGGCCGGGCAGTTGGGTTCGATTCCCCTCCTGCATGAGTCCTCGGGATGCGTCATTGGGGGGGGGGTTACGTGCGAGGCTGTCGAAATTACACCTGCTGCACAGACTTCGACGCATTGCGCCATTGGAGCGCTGCGGTGTGTGTATATATATATATATATACATGTATGTATGGTTGGGGAGATCATCGATATGTTGGTTATATATTCTCTGCGGGCTTTGATTACTGCTGTCTTCCCGTCCTTTGGGGTTTAATCAAAAGCTCAATTGCAAGCAGCAATCTACACCTACGGCAGGCTTCTGGCTACTGGTGCTGGCTAGCAGCCTCAACAGTTTCTGATACAGACCATGAGTATGAGTGTTCACCGTACGAATACGGTCCACGGCCCGACCACGATAATAAGTCAACAAGTCATATGATTACGTGTTGCTCTGTCTCTGAGCCCGGCCCCTCGGAGCCCCGCGACACGAAGATGTGAATATCCGTGAGATCGAGAATGAGGCTCTGCAACGCAACAAACACTTACATCCAAACCACCCGGCGCCACACACCCGCCAATTTGCATCTGATAACGATCTCTCATCTCATGCACCATCTCAGCAATCAGATAACTCGCACCCATCCCATCTCAGCAATCAGATCACTCGCACCCATCCCATCTCAGCAATCAGATAACTCGCACCCATCCCATCTCAGCAATCAGATAACTCGCACCCATCCCATCCCATCCCATCGGCTGCACTCACCTCCTCACCTCTCCCCAGCCAGTCAGACAGCCACTCCTCCACCTCCCCTGTCCCCAGCCCAAGGGCACGCGAGATGTCTCCGTTTTCATGGAAGGGCCACCAGCTGTGCTACGCGAGACAAAACGAAACAAGAGACAGAACTACATGTAAGACACGCAGAAGCAGAAAGAAGAGAAAGAAGAAAAGAAAAAGAGATGATAAACTGAGACATGATGAAACGGCGGTCCACCACACACAATGCCTACAAAAGACACATATCTCACTCATCTCACTCACCCACTCACCCACTCACCCACTCACCCACTCACCCACTCACCCACTCACCCACTCACCCACTCACCCACTCACCCACTTCATCGTTAGGCGGGTAGCACTGTAGCAGTTGGCAGGCCAGCCAGCCCTAGGAAGAAAAATACAGAGCGAGACCCTGTCTTGTCTCGTCTCGTCTGTCAGAAAACCGTCGCGCGCCAGCAACAGCAAATTTAAAATAAATAAACGCACCTCAGCTCGCTAGAGCAGAGCAGAGGCAGAGCAGAGGCAGAGCAGAGGCAGAGGCAGAGGGCTCAATCTAAATTTGTCTGTCCCCTACAAATCTCTAATGCGCAGGACCTCTGCCTCACGTGACACAGGCCCAAACCGCGCCTGCACACGGGAGAGAAGCACAGACACAGAGCAGAGCAGAGCAGGCAAGCAGGCAGGCAGGGAACAAGGACCAGGAGAGCTGCAAAGGAAGGAAAAAGAAAAGAGAAGAGAGAGCGAGGGCTTCGTGAGATTGACAGTCTCGAAAGAAGTAAAGATAGCATAAAAAAAACTTTTTTTTTTCTTCCCTTTTGCGCCCCCCCCCTCCCTCCAAGGGAAGGGGGAGAATTGAAACACATTTATATAGAGCAGTAATAGAGAGAGAGAGGCCACCAAACCTCCCCCCAACCTCCTTCCTCTCTCCCGGAATCACCACCCCGGCCCCCTTGCTACATACATAACATAACATAGATCTCGTTCCTGCTCGTCGATTCGTGAAGGGGCATCCAATCTTCTTTTCTGTTGATTTGACCTGACCTGACCTGACCTGCCTTGCCTATACATATACACATACACATACACATACACATACACATACATAACCTCTCGCGCGACCTACAGTTCAGATCGGAGCTGCTCTCCCAGTCGTTACTGTTACTGTTACTGCCACTGCCACTGTCACTGTAATACTGCTACAGCGAATCGATCACATCTCCATATCCACGGCACGCATCCCGCACATTGCATCTCATACGATACGCTGACAGCGCTCGCTCTACCGCTGCTGCTGCTGCTGCTGCACTCCAATAACCACCTACATACGACGTGACATTCATTACCCACCAGCACCCACCTACCTATCACCACCCGTCCACAAACCCGACACCTCGGTCCCACATCTCTCCCACCCACCAACCAACCAACCACCCCCACACCTCCAATGGCCGCCGAACCTCCCTCCCCCTCCGCCTCGCTCACCAGCCACTTCACCGCCCTCTCCGGCCCGCTCACCACCCACCTCACCGACGCCAACTCGATCCCCATCCTGTCGACGCACCCGTCGCCCAACAGCCCCGCGCTGTCGTCGCTCTCGTCGGCGTTCGTGCAGGCGCACGACACGGCGTGCCGCATGGGGCTGGGCACGCCGCTGCGCGTGACCATCGCGACGGCCGCCGGCGCGGCCGTGATACAGACGGCGACGGTGGAGGCGGGGAAGGAGCGCGAGATGCTGGTGGGGACCGTGGTTGCGCGGGCGGACCGCCTGGCGGAGGCGCGCATGGCGAGTTGGGGGGTTGAGGAGGTGGCGAGGAGGTTCCAGAAGACGGTGGCGGGGGATGCGGCGTAGATGGGGGGGTTGTGATAACTTTTTACTATTGTTTTTTTGCTGGTCTGGGCGGGGGGGCTTTCATATGGGATGGCTATTATTACTATTACTCTTACTCTTTGGCTTGGGCTTGGGCATGGACTGGCGGGATAGCCGGGCGGGCGGGAGAACATTTGCTCGACTCGACTCTTACTCTTACTCCACTGTACTCTTTTTTTTGCATGCAGCGTTACGTTACGATAATCATTCTTACTCTTCCCGGTTTTTCCTCATTTCATTTTTCGCGGGGTTCTTATTATTTTTTTTTTTTCCTTTCTGTGTATGTAGAACTATTACTCCTTCTGGCTGGGCCCCTGTGTCTTCTTCATCTTTCGGTTTTCTTTGGCCAGGCCCTGTGTGACCGGTGGCTTTTTTCATGCCGGGTCACCTGGCTCCATTACCTATTTCATATTTCATATTTTTATGCTATTCTTACATTTGCCCTTCTTTTCCTTGTCTCTAATCTTTTTTTTTTTTTTTTTTTGCTGCTTGCTACGGACGGGTACGGCACGATAAAGGCGTCCGTCCGATGCGGGGGGAAAAAAGAGAGTCGAGGAGAAACAGCACAGTGCAGTGCAGTGCAGTGCGTCGCGGAAAAGGAAATATATATTCTTACTTTTCTTTTTACATATACCATATATCGGGGCGCGGGGGAGGGGGAGGGGGAGGGGGAAGATTTTGGGGGGGGGGGGGGGGGGGATGTCGGAGACATAAAAAAAAATGGAAAAAGGAATATGCTATGTAGGGAAAATATATTATTATTATTATTATTATTATTACCGTTATATGGACCCGCTTGGTAACCATCATATCATGATCAGTATTGACATCATTCACCATCAGCGGCGGCGGCGGCGGCGGCAAAAAAAAAAAAAAGGTATCATAAGTATCATCAGCGGCAAAAGGTACATGTATACTATCATACCATCCTTCTTTTCACGGCATTGAAGTTCTCGGACATGACATCGGGTTGGGCTGGTTGGAATGTAGTAGTTTCCGACGGTGGAGGTAGGTATGATAAGATTGTTAGAAGAAGGCAAGAGTTACCAAACGCCTTATCAGCCCAGCACGCCACCACCACCACCACCACCACCACCACCCACCACACCCACCCACTCGCCCACTCACCCGCGGTGCGTCACACCTCCGGGCTTCTTGAAAGGCATTGTACTCGACTCACTCGATGTTGACCGCCGCGAAAACGAAACAACGGTATGGTAGAAGTGATGGTGACGATACATAAGCGATGATTGGTGGGTGAGTGTTGAGGAATGTCGACTCTGTGGGTTGTGGGAAGTACCGATTGGGTGGATAGACGATTCTGCTAAAGTATTTACGGCACGCGACATGACTTCATGCACAGAAAATAGAGTAGGTAGGGCACTCCAGATGAGGGATGAAGCGATTGATTGACCATGCATGCATGATTGCTTGCAGATAATAATAACAATGTTGATAAGACTATTGTGGTTGGTCGAGGTAGATAAGGACTTGTGCTTTAAGGAAAGAGAAACACCAAACTGCAGCAACAGCCAACGATACATGTAGTCACGAACAACTAGAGATATCAAAAGACATGACTGAGAACACGGTATGTAGAATTGAATAAAAACTATGCTTAAAAAAGGAGTATCCAAGGTATAGGAAATAAAAAGACTGTATGTGAATTTATACAAAGAATTGAAATCTCGTCTCGCAAGACCACTCCGTCCCCGATCTTATTCCATCCTAAGCCAAGTAAATGCCCACCCTTTCCTCAAACAGACGATAAAAGTATATAGCAAATAATATAGACAAAGGACAAATGAAATGCATGAAGATGCTACTTGGCCCCGCAATGGTTGACCAGAAAAAACCCAAGATAAAAAGTCCCTCGCCCCCCCCCCCCCCCCAAACAAAATAAAAAAGTCTAAGACAAGCCCAAATCCAAACCTCATTGGTTTCCCGAAACATAGACGAGTGACCGATAATGATGCGCAACATAAAGTGTCCTATCCATGTACTGAGCTCCCTTAAAATGCACGCAAATAAACAA